GAATCCTGAAAGCAGCTAGGGAAAAGAGAAGTGTAACATACAAAGGCAAGTAAATCAGATTAAGTTCCGATCTTGCAACAGAAACCATGCAGGCAAGAAGGCAATGTGGAGACATAAAACCCTGAAAGAAAAAAACTGCTGAACAAGAATCCTCTACCCAACAAAGCTGTCGATCAAATATGATGGTGTAATGAAAACATTTCAGGATAAACAGAAGCTAAGGGATTTTGACAAAACCAACCCTGCTATGAAAAACATCCTAAACGGAGTTCTGTGGACTGAGAACCAACAAGAACAGAAAACAACCAGAGAATGATGTACGTGGCAGCATCACCCTGAACTCAATCAACAAATGAAAGTGTCAAGAACAGAATAAAATTATAAAAACAGAGGATCTAGGAGGTCAGTCTATGATCAAAACAATTACGATGTGAAAGAAGGTAAACACAGAAGAATAGAGATCTAGGGGTTGAGAAGCTCAAGTAGAAGCTCAGGATAAAATAGACTGTCCTAAATGGAGGGAAAAATTAGTGGAATATAAGGTAACCATAACAGTGGGGTTGGGGTGGGGGGTTTAGTTCAGTTGTTCATGAGGGCAATATAAAATGGTGGAGGAGGTGGAAGAACAAGATAGATAGGGGAACACTGAGACATATTTACATGGCCTAAATGGAACAGAGGTAAATAGAGATGCATGCTCAACCTTAAAACAACAGGGCTCTGGGATACAGGGATCTAGGCATAGCTTGAAGAGGGGAAATAATACTAAAATGCTTGACTGTCTTATGAATATTGGTTTCCCTTGCCTACTATTGTAAAATAGACACTTGAGTGGGATAGAAAGGAAAGCTGGGAAACATGATTACAGAAAACTTGTAAGCCTGCTTTCAGCCTAGAACTGGTTGGAATACCTAAAAGGGGTTCTAGAACTTGCCCAGTGAAATAGGCCACTTGCAAAGCCTTTGCACAGTATAGGACATTAGGTAGAATTCTGAGCCCCATCTAGAACCCTCTGAGGTGGGACATTTCCACTAACAAGACTTACAAGCAGACCAGCCTGGAACAGCTAGAGCAACAGATGAAACATCTTCAAGAAAGATCATCAGGAAAAACCCAAAATAAAAATGTCAGCATGTCTGGAAACTACGAGCTGTTCACCAGGAAGCCATCAAGGCAAGCAATCAAGTTCTTTCAGAACAAACTCCCCTCTAAGACTGAAACTCA